AAGCGGACACCACTGTTTTGGTTGGTGCTCTTCTTATCTTGGGCGATCGTGTAAAATGTATTACCATTTATCTCGTACCCTTTGAAAGTCATTATATTCGAAGATGGTAACTGGGACAGCAAGTACAGGTCATCTTCAATAGAGGTGTCATGCATGGTACGTGCTTGCAACCAGCTGGCGAAACTCCTGGTTTGTTCACGTGTAATCCAGTCATCAGACCGCTCCGGGTGTTTGGAGCGTAGCAAATTCCTGTGTTCATCCATATACGGAGCCACCAAGGCGAAATTCTGTAGAACTGTGTAGTGTGCTTCAGTGAGAGAATGTCCGTCCATACATATTATTTGTTCCCCTCCTAGCGTGCCTTTTCCATCCAGTCTGCCCTTATGCCGTGATTCAGGAACACCAATCGGCTTAAGGTCAGGAATAAAGTCAATACAAAACTCAATGACCTCCTCATTTTTACGGCCCTTGGAGATGCTTCCTTCTGGCCTAGAACGGTTATGAACATATTTCTTTAAGACTCCCATGAACCTCTCAAAGGGGAACATATTGTGTAGAAATACAGGACCCAAAACATTAATCTCTTCGCATAGGTGAACTAGGACGTGCGTCATGATGTTGAAGAAGGATGGTGGGAACACCAACTCGAAACTGACAAGACATTGCACCAAATCATTCTGTAACCTTGGTATGATTTCTGGATCAATTACCTTTTGAGAGATTGCATTGAGAAATGCACATAGCTTCACAATGGCTAATCGAACGTTTTCCGGTAGAAGCCCCCTCAATGCAACCGGAAGCAGTTGCGTCATAATCACGTGGCAGTCATGAGACTTTAGGTTCTGGAACTTTTTCTCTGCCATGTTTATTATTCCCTTTATATTCGACGAGAAGCCAGACGGTACCTTAATACTGAGCAGGCATTCAAAGAAGATTTCCTTCTCTTCTTTGGTAAGAGCGTAGCTTGCATGACCCTGATGTATGCCGTCTTTTCCGTGCATACGTTGCTGGTCCTCCCGTGCCTCAGGTGTATCTTTTGTCTTCCCATACACGCCCAAGAAGCCAAGCAGGGTCACACAAAGATTCTTCGTCACGTGCATCACGTCGATTGCGGAGCGGACCTCGAGGTCTTTCCAATAGGGCAGGTCCCAAAATATAGATTTCTTCTTCCACATGGGTGCGCGTCCGTCAGCGTCATTCGGAACAGGTTGTCCACCAGGACCCTTTCCAAAGACCACCTTCAAATCCTTGACCATATCATGTACATCAGCACCAGTACGGTGGCGAGGCTTCGTCCGGTGATCCGCCTCAACTTTGAAATGCTTGCCTTTCTTTCTTACGGGATGCCTGCTCGGAAGAAATCGACGATGTCCCAGGTACACATTCTTATAGCCAAATATATACTGTCAGTATCGTCCAAACAGTGCATGCATGCGCGGTATCCCTTGTTTGTCTGTCCTGAAAGGTTACTGAGAGCAGGCCAATCATTGATGGTCACGAACAACAATGTCTTCCCCCATGTGCTCATCCCACGCACGTACACCTGTTCCATTCCACAGTTGTAAGAGTTCTTCAACTAATGGCCTTAGGTACACACCAATGTCGTTGCCGGGTTGCTTAGGGCCTTGGATGAGCACTGGCATCATAATGAAATTCCGCTTCATGCACAACCAAGGAGGAAGGTTATACAAACATAGAGTCACAGACCAGGTGCTATGGTTGCTGCTCTGCTCCCCAAAAGGATTAATGCCATCTGCGCTTAGACCAAACCATGTGCTCCTTGCGTCATCCGCAAACTCCTTCCCGTACTTTCTTTTGATTTTTCTCCACTGCGACCCGTCAGCGGTTACTCTCAACTTTCCGTCTTTCTTACGGTCTTCTCTGTGCCATCGCATCGCCTTGGCATGCTCTTTGTTTTGTAACAAACGTTTCAACCGTGGTATTATAGGAGCATACCACATCACCTTGGCAGGAATCTTCTTCCTGGGGCGCCGGCCCTCGACATCACCAGGGTCATCGCGGCAGATCTTATAGCGCAATGCACCACATACCGGGCAAGCGTTCAAATCCTCGTACTCACCGCGGTAGAGGATGCAATCATTAAGGCATGCATGTATCTTCTGCACCTCTAACCCTAGAGGGCAGACAACCTTCTTTGCTTCGTACGTACTCTCGGGCAATTCGTTGTCCTTTGGAAGCATATCCTTTATCATTACCAGCAACTTTCCAAATCCCTTGTCAGATACACCATTCTCTGCCTTCCATTGCAGCAATTCCAGTGTGGTGCCCAGCTTTTTCTTGTCACCTACGCAATTCGGGTACAACAATTTTTTGTGATCCTCTAACATGCGCTGCAACTTCTTCTTCTCCAAATCACTTGCGCAGTTTCTCTTTGCATCGGCAATGGCCCGACCTAGATCATCAACGGGCTCATCTGATGCCTCTTCTCAGCTTCTTCCCGCATTGCCGGCTCAGCTTCTTCCCGCGTTACCGGCTCAGTTTCTTCCCCCATTGTTGTATCATCGTATTCAGGGAACCCATGGCCAGGATAGCTGTCTCGTCCTCTTCTTCTTCATTGTCTTCCATTATAACCCCTCTTTCTCCGTGCTTGGTCCAAACATTATAATGGGGCATGAAACCGGATTTAAACAGGTGGACGTGAATGGTTCTTGACGTAGAGTAATTGTGACCATTCTTACAGCGAGCACATGGACAGGGCATAAAACCATCCGCCCGCTTGTTTGCCTCAGCCGCAAGCAGAAAAGTACGCACGCCCTCAACGAACTGGGGAGAGCATCGGTCATCGTACATCCATTGCCGGCTCATCTTCATTACACAACACCGAATAGACCAAATTAATACAAGTTCATACATATAGTTCATACAACACTTAAATGCAACAAACAAATAACTCTCTAGCTAAAGCATTTAAATGCAACAACAAATACGATCAAGATCGCAACTAAGGTAACAATGGATCCAACAGCATAATGATACCAAGCCTCACTATCGATGGCATATTTTCTAATCTTTCTAATCTTCAAGCGCATTTTCTCCATCTTGATCTTGTGATCATCGACGACATCGGCAACATGCAACTCCAATTCCATCTTCTCCCCCTCAATTCTTTTCAATTTTTCTTTCAAGTACTCGTTTTCTCTTTCAACTAAATTTAACCTCTCGGCAATAGGGTCGGTTGGAATTTCCGGTTCACATACCTCCTAGAAAAAATTTCTATGTCAACTTGATGGGCATAATTTGTCATAAACACGAAATGCAACTAGTTTTAAAAGAGAATATACATACCACATCCGAATCATAACAAGGACTAGGGCCGACGGGGACGGATATCAAAACCATGGCACTATATGTATAACAAACAACGTACGGGTAAGATAATTATACGAGTAACTATATATCCAAATCACACAAACATCAATTTTTATATAAAATTTCATGAACAAGAGGCTCACCACAAGGTTGTGCCGGCGACGGGACGGTGCGGGCGATCGACGGTGGTTACGATGGAGATTTAGAAGGCACTAAGTAAACCACACCAACATATGCAAACTAAGTGTTATTTTTGACCTCAAATTGCATATAAATCAAATACTAGCACACATATATATATCCTCCCAAATTACTAAACTCACAAATTAATCACTATATAAACCAATGCAAGAGCTAATCTAGCAATGAGAGATGAAAGGACAAAGTTGCTAACCTTTGTGATCATTTGAATGGATGAGGGCCTTCAAATCTTGACAAATTTTGAGCAAATTTTGTGATGAACTCGAGAGGAAGAAGGGAAGGACAGAGGAGAGGGAGAGGGGAAAGGGGGAAGAACAGAGTGCTGGTGGACGAAGGGTTTATGTAGGACGACCTCTAGTACCGGTTCGTGCCAAGAACCGGTACTAAAGGGGTTGGAGGGGCCCTAGTCTGACAACATCCTGCCACCACTCTCATTAGTACCGGTCGTGGCACGAACCGGTACTAAAGGTTCACCACGAACCGGTACTAATGAAAGCGGCCCGGCTATCCGTTGGAACCGGCACTAATGTATACATTAGTGCCGGCTCAAATACAAACCGGCACTAATGTGCTTCACGTTTGACCCTTTTTCTACTAGTGGTGGGAATGAAAGTAGAGGGAAGAAAGAAGAAAGAACGAAGCGTACATGCGTTTTTTTAGGCCTCTTTTGGTTCATAGGATAGGATTATCGTAGGAATAGGAATTTTGTAGGAAATGAGATGACATGTATCTCAAATCCTATGAGTAGAAATGGAAAATGAGATGTATTTGGTTGACATCAAAGAAATTTTCATTGAATCTAGGCTCATTTTTATTTTCCTATAAATGTGAAGGATAGGAACCAATCCTATATAGGAATAAGAATCAATTCCTATGAACCAAAGGGTTATAAAGGAAAAAATCCTATAAAAATCATATCTTCTAGAATTCTTATAAAATTTCTCCAAACCAAAAAAAGCGCCTTAGAGAAAAGGTATCACTGGTTGGCTTTGTAGTATATACACAGAACATAAGAATATAAGATATGGGCCCCTCCCCTGGTTGGGCCCTAGGCAGTCGCACTCTTTGCCTAGGCCTAGGACCGGCCCTGCTAGTAAGGAAGCAACGTGTCTTCAGTAGATGGTCCATGCATGAGCGGTGCATGCAAGAAATAAATCTAGTACGTAGTGTAGCTTCTAGTGTGTGTGTACGTGGCTGTACACGTGCTGCTCACAGCGAACTTGCAGTCCACTATATAGGGGCTTAGCTAGAGTCCTTCGGTTTAACTGAGTCAGTCAATAAGAAATAAAGCTTCTAAGTAGTACTAGTACGTGAGCTTCTCTATCACTAGTGGATGTGTGCGTGTGTTCACTGATTCAACTACATATATGTGCAGCAGCTGCATCTTCTCTCTTTGCTGCTCTCCAATTCTCTTCGCTTGATCCTTTGAAGCTAGATACCTAACAGTAACTACACTGCACAGGGCAGCCATGGCGCCGGCCTCCAAGGCTGCTCCGCTACTGATGACCCACTCCGCCCACCCAGGGCACGTACTCAAGCTTTTTGCCGGCAGCTCTCCGTTCCAGTGCGATGGCTGCAGGCAGTACAGCGACGACGAGCGCTGGTACCGGTGCGAGCCATGCGACTACGACCTTCATGTATGCTGCGCGCTCCTCAGGACCTACCTCACGCATCCTCTCTTTCCGGGCCGCATTTTCACCTTCCTCCACAGGCCTCCCAGCGCCCCGGGTTACAGCTGCAGATTCTGCGACGGCTGCGGAGACTTGGTGCTCGGCTTCGTGTACCACAACGCCGAGCGCCAGCTCGACCTCCACCCGCAGTGTGCCTCTCTTCCCACGGTCCTCGCCGGGGAGGAACGCGTGCCAATCCTCTCGGAGGAGGCGCCTGTCCGCGGTAACTGCGGGCTGTGCGGGCAGGGGAAGAACGGGCGCCGTGGCAGGTTCTGGTGCTACCGCTTCAACTACGCCGACGGGGAGCCTGCGTACGTGCATGTGGCGTGCTTAATGGAACTCCGGGATCAGGGGACGCTGCAGAGCGCGCCCAGCAGGAGGTCTGGCAGGTTCTTGCGTTTCTGCAAGATTGCCTTGACCGTCGCCAGGGTGGCACACGCGGTCACCACTATGGACCCGGTAGGGTTTGTCACCGCAGTTGCCGGCCACCCATGAACGTCTCGGCTACAAAATCACTTGAAGCTACCACGTACTTTGTCTCGCCGTTTGGTATGTGTGTTGTTTATTCCTGGTGGTGCTTGTATATCTCCCGAGTGTTTCCTTTCCTTTCTCTATTGTCTATGCGCCGTCTATCTGCCTGGTTTAGAGGGGATCATCTCTTGTTGGTGTATATGGAATAAAACATATGTCTGTGCATGTGAGGTGCTGATGTGATGTCAGAGACCGCAGAACAATGGAGCTGCATGCATGCATGTGAGGTGTTGGCCTGTTGCTGTGTGAAAAAGAAAAGAAAGAGAGAGGTGATGTGAGAGAAGAGCAGAGAAGGGAGAGAGAGGCGTTGTGTGACACTGACATGGTTTTTTTTTCCCGAAGAGTGACAGTGACTTGGTTGTAATTACATAAATGATCCCTGCTGTTCCATATAACTGACATGATTGAAAGTTAGGATGACAATCTAGTGAATCTGTTAAAAAACAGAATCTTCATTGCTCGGGATAAAAAAGTTGAATACACTAGTCACACGTTGATGACGGGACAAAAGCATGGGGCTTGTCTGACAGACCCATGTCACATCATGTCAGCTACAGTACCGCGGCTATCAGAGTATTCTCGTGCCAGATTATGACGCGTTTACCTCCTGCCACAGCTGCTAAGGGCACGTACAATGATGGCATATGAATACATATGCCCCGTGACAAAAAGTAATTTGATGCATCTATATTAATTTTTCCTCTCCAATGTAAGTTATCACTAGTGGGCCTCATTAAGAAATAAAAAATAAAGACTCGAGTACACATGCATCTCTACTTTTCACTCCAACCTTTTCAGCTTTTCAGCTTTTTCTCTTCAAGCACCCACCTCCTAGAGAGGATCCTGCTTCCTTATCCGAACCTACTTTACGTCATATCCGATCCTACATGGCATGCGAGGCATCACCTTAAGGCTATGCATTGTACATGCCCTAATTCAGCATGATCCACATGCACCAAAGCCAACAATGGATATCTACGATAATGATCCACATGCACCAAAGCCAACAATGGATATCTACGATAGTGGGTACCGCATAGCTCACGCTACAAAAAACCGTTCTCATCTGCAGGTCAATTATTTTGGGTCTACAACACTTAATAACCAACGTCTATCTTACTTTCCTGATCATCAAAATTAATGTTGTTGATTAGCTTATATACATCTTATATTGCCAAGCCCGTGTACCTTTTTTGGAAAAGGAGGTTATCCCCTGGCCTCTGTATTGGAAAGATGCATGCAGCCACTTTATTAAAAATCCGATAGAACAAAGTCTGTAGTGCAAAGTACTACTCACAAAGTGCAGTAAAAATAAAAATACAAGTCTCAAAGCCGCATCCGGCTTAACGAGGATCCACTAAGGACCAATCCTATGCAGTGATCGCCATCCAAACCGGTTGAAGAAAACCCGAGCTGCCATCTTCCATCGGTTGCACCCAGTAGCCAGCTGCTCCCTGGAGGCCGTAGGAGTGAGTAATGACCAAGTATGGATCCATGCAGTAGCCCAGAATATAACCTGCAAGAAATTAGTCATAGATTTTCTGTTAAAAATTATATCATTCCTACAGTTCAATATAGCCCAAATAAGTGCACATATTCCAATCCGAATATTACGCGCGAGATGCACATTCACTCCATCAAGCCACGTCCCAAACAACATCTCTATGCTATCAGGAGGTGAAATATCAAAGGCCACATGCACCGATCTCCAAAGTAACTTCGCAAGCGGGCAATCAAGAAAAAGGTGTTGTATTATTTCATCCTGATCACAATAGCAACACCTCGAGCTACCTACCCATCTCCGCCTGACTAAGTTATTCTTGGTTAGGATCACTTGTTTATGGACAAACCACATAAATATATATCTTAATTCGTAAGGGTACTTTAACTCGCCAAATATGGAGCGATCGCGGGATTGGGCCAGAGTTGATGAGATCTAAGTACATAGACTTGACTGTGAACAAACCATTATTCGTGAGTTTCCATCTAAAAGAATCCTCCTCATCGGAGAGGTGTACCTCCATTAGCCTCCTCACTAAGTGCAGCCAAGAGTTCCAGCGTTCTCCAACTAGAGATCTCCTGAACTGGATATTCAAGGGTACTGTCTGCATCACCGTTGCCACGTACTCTTCCTTACGTTGAGCAATATGATACAGAGACGGATACTGGAGAGCTAGCGGCCTATCACCTAACCACGTATCCTCCCAAAACCTTATTGTTGAGCCATCCCCAACACTAAACTGCACCCTATGGAAGAAAGTATACTTCACTCGCATGAGTCCCTTCCAAAAGGGTGAATGATTAGGTCTGACAGTAACCTAGGCTAGAGTTTTGGAGTGTAAATACTTGTTGTGTAGAATCTAGGCCCACATTCCTTTGGAATGCAGCGATAGTCGGTATAACCACTTACTCAACAAGCATTCATTTTTCATCTCGAGGTTTTCAATCCCAAGACACCCCTAGTCCTTCGGTCAACAAATAATATCCCATCTTGCCAGGCGATATTTTGTCTTAACCTCGTCTGATTGCCAAAAGGATCGAGATCGATAGAAGTCTAATCTCTTGCATACTTTGGGTACTTCGAAAAAAGACAAGAGGAACATCGCCATGCTCGTGAGTACCGAATTAATTAATACTAGTCGTCCTCCATATGACATAAGCTTACCCTTTATTAGTCAATTTCCTATGATGTATTGGAATGCCAAGATAACTAAAGGGTAGCTATCCCAGTTCACAACTGAATAGTTGCTTGTATTCTTCTTGGTCCTCTTTGGCCCTTCCAAAACAGAAAAGCTCACTTTTGTGGAAATTGATCTTCAGCCCCGATAATTGCTCGAAAAGACATAGGAGGAGTTTCATGTTACGACCTTGAGCAAGGTCATGTTCCATAAATAATATAGTGTCATCCGCATATTGTAAGATGGATACCCCCCCGTCCACCAGGTGGGGGACTAATCCACCAATCAGCCCCTTTTCCTTGGCCCGTCCTATGAGTACTCTCAACATGTCTGCCACAATATATTAAACAGTATTAGGGACATTGGGTCACCTGCCTTAGGCCCTTATGCGTTTGAAAATAATGGCCAATATCATCATTAACCTTTATTCCAACACTGCCTTTTTGGACAAAAGAATCCACCTGATTCGTCCAGGACTCATTGAAACCTTTCATGCGCATAGCTTGCTGTAAAAAAGGCCACTTCACCTTATCGTACACCTTCTCAAAATCCACTTTGAATATCACTCCATCGAGTTTCTTCGAGTGGATTTCATGTAAGGTTTCATGTAAGACAACTACCCCTTCTAGTATGTATCTTCTAGGCATAAAGGCAGTTTGACTTGGTTGCACCACCGAGTGTGCCACCTTTGTCAGCCGGTTGGTGGCCACTTTTGTAAAGATTTTGAAACTGACATTCAATAAGCATATGGGTCTGAATTGTTCGATGCGGATATAGCATCCTCCTTTTTAGGTAGAAGAGTGATCGTGCCAAAATTCAACTAGAACAGTTGAAGATGGCCATTAAAAAGATCATGAAACATAGGCATAAGATCATCTTTCACAATATGCCAACATTTCTTATAAAATTCTGCCGGGAACCCATCTGGTCCCGGTGCCTTGTTTGGTTTCATTTGATCTATCGCGTCGAACACCTCCTTCTCAGTAAAAGGAGCAGACATGATCTCATTCTCCTCTGACTGCAACTGAGGGATATCAGCTCATACACTCTCATCCAGAGTCACGATGTTATCTTTCGGAGGACCAAACAACTGCTTGTAATAGTTGGAGGTATAAAGCTTCAAATTCTCATGTCCAACAACCATTTCCTCATCCTGTTCTAGTTGAATGATTTTTTTTCTCCTATGCTTGCCATTCGCAATCATATGAAAAAATTGTGTATTGTCATCCCCTTTTACCACCTTAAGAACTTTGGCACGCAATGCTCACTTCATCTCTTCTTCTCCAAGTAACGAATGTAATTTGGCCTCGGCTTTCGACTTGCAAGCTTGCTCAGTCGGGTCCAGCAAATTCGTTT